CATGAAAAAATGTTCACCATCCCTGGCCATAAAAGAAATGCAAATCAAAACTACACTAAGTTTCCACCTTACACCTGTTAGAATATCTATCATCAAGAACACCACCAACAACAAATGTTGGCGAGGATATAGGGAAAAAAGAACCCTCATACAGTGCTGGTGGGAATGTAAGCTAGTACAACCACTTTGGAAAACAATGTGGAGGATTCTTTAAAAAACTAAATAGAGATTGGCTAAATGATCCAGCAATACCACTCCCAGGGATATTCTCAAAGGAATGTGACTAAGGTCATAACCAATCTCATTTAAAATTAATTTATTGAGGTCAACTTCCTTTGCCCTAAAATTATCTAATTTAAAGGGAATGAATTACTGGCTGCTGCTAAATTTATAATATAACAGTTTCATCTAGTTTTATCAATGAAGGAAGAAATTAAAACAGCCAGGATTCAGACTTCCATTTTTATTTCACTTCAAATGCTTCTGTAGTTTTATAATGGCTATAGGTGTTTTTGACATTCTCTTTAAAATAATTTAATATTAAAGATTAATAAATGTTTTAAAACCTTTCCACCACTACAAATATCCATTACCTCATTTTTTTCCCAGTCCTCATTTCCTTTTCATCTTTTCTTTGAATCTACATATTTTCTGTTGTGGAAATTTCTTGTAAAAGACTTATAGTCAAGGTGACTATGCAATTAGGATGTATTCAAGATTCCTGCCTTGTAACATCTATAGCCTTGCTGTGCTGGGGCAATGAGAAAGAGGAAATAGCAGGAGGCAGATATGAGAAATAAGGTTTATCAGAATGTACTAATAGGGATCTTAACATGGGAGAAATATTTCCTAATAAGAAGGTACCATGAGGAGTAGCTAGGAGATCATAGCATGACTCTGGAGGTCAAAAGCCTAATGGTGTCCAGCAGGAGTAGGAACATTTGTTCTCTGCACAGTTCTCACAAAAAGTTCCAGCAGTGTCATAAAAGTCCAGTGGTGCCAGGCTCTCCAGGAAACTCACTCACCAGGGTGTCCAGTGGCAAAAGGCTGCACCAGGAGCACTGGTCTTCTCCATGATGCTCCTTTTCTATTGCCCTGTTTAACACTGGGACAGAGATTTTGTAGGTCAGGCTGCAAAAGCTGTGACATCATTAGCTCATTTTGCCCTTGTATGACCAGCATTATAAAGAGTAGCCAATACAGTGTATGACCAGAATTTAGATTAGCTCTACAGAGAATGCTTGCCTTATCTAGACATTCCAGTCCTGGATCACTCTCATTGCTTCTTACCCACACTTCATGTAAGCTGGATCATGTAGTATTTGTCCTGTGACTGATTTATTTCATTTAGCATCAGTTCTCCAGGTTCACCCTTGTCATTTCATATGCAGGAGATCATTTTTTAAGGCTGAATAATATTCTGGTGTTTATTTTTTAACCACATTTTTTTGTGAGTGTAGAGAATGTGGAAAATCCTTTTTTTTTATTGTTTTATTATTCATATGTGCATACAAGGCTTGGGTCATTTCTCCCCCCTGCCCCGCCCCCTTACCACCCACTCCACCCCCTCCCTCTCCCCCCCACTCAATACCCAGCAGAAACTATTTTGCCCTTATCTCTAATTTTGTTGAAGAGAGAGTATAAGCAATAATAGGAAGGAACAAGTGTTTTTGCTGGTTGAGATACGTAAAGGGGGGCCAGGAACTAGAGAAAAAGTTGAATAAAAAAGAATTAACCTAGAAGGTAACACACATGCACAGGAAATTAATGTGAGTCAAATCCCTGTTTGGCTATCCTTATCTCAACCACATTTTGTTTAAACATTCATTCAGTAATAGATGTTTAGTTTGCTTCTGATCTTTTTTTATTTCAAATTATGCCACAGTGGACCTGAGGACACTAACAACTCTTTGAAATCCCAACACCAATATTTTGAATGAAATCTAGAAGTGGGTTTGCTGTTTACTGCAATAAATAAAGTCAAAGTTGAATACAAATCGTCCTTGACAATTAGTGAACAATCTCCAGGCATTTCATTTAGCATTCAAACGCTTTAGGGATAACCAACAAATTTCTTGTCAACTCCTCAGGGAGTATCTCAAAAGTTAAATAAAATATATAAATTGTCCTCAAACAACCAATGCTAAGAAACACATGGAAGAATCAAGAAAGAGCTTTCATTACAGGTGACAAAGACAGATGTTTTCATATAGTGTCATAAGGCCTGACCAGCTGTAACACCTCTCTCCTTTTTTTCATAGTAATTTTTGCATATTTTTCTCCTCAGGTGATAGGATAAATGATCATAAGCACTTGAAACACTACCTTGCATTTGTGCTTAGAAAATTTGTGTATACATATAATTTTATATCTAAAAGAAGATAAAATGAGTGAAGATGAAGAATAAGTAGAATGACATGGATAAATTTTTGGAGACAGTAATTGAAACAGAACCCACTGTCTCACTTTCATACCCTTCCAAACACTTAGGGATTCATGAGTTGTAGGCTCTCGTTGTGACCCTCTCATTTATCATTGCAATAAATGTATGAGTGAGATTTAATACAGATCTCTGATAAGAAAAAAGGAGTTTGCATTTCACATTGAGATGTTAAAGGTTTTATGGCTGTTATTTTTTTTTCCTGAATGTCAGAAGACTACTGAGTACCCAGTTTTATGGTGATGGTAAAATGTTCTTCATTTAACAGTGGGATCTGAGTAAATTTTTCTAGAGTATAGGTTTAAAAGTAAAAGAGTATTCAGTAATTATATTACAGTATGCAAAAAGAAATTTGTTGAACTTTAAAACTGGTGAGAGGAAGCAACTTTTTTTCTTTACCTTACAGCAACATTGGTACTAATTTTTATGTGCACTTTATTTTGTAGTATTTCATGATTACAAACCAAACCAAACCAAAATAACAACAAATAAGATTTAGACTCTTCTAATTGAAATTACTGAAGATATTTACTTAATTTTATAAGCTGATATATTTTGTTATATTTGGTAGAAAAAGATGTTTGAATGTGGCAGGGAGGATATCAAGTAGCAACAATGATGCAAACAACATTGTATATGAGTTAAGTGCAATTTACAAGTGATTAGCTTCATATATAATATTGTATAATTATTTGTTTGCAGCTCACACAGAGATTCTGGTACTGCAATTTCCATAATAAAGTTTTCCATTTCTATTTTTTTTAATTTTAAGAAAATTGGTGACCACAATTTTTTCACCTCATAGTAATTATCTTATCTTTAGATTCTGTGTTACATTTATTAATCTCTGGAGCATAAGAAATATCCAGGTATGTTTTACTTGATTGCACACTTCTTTGCAGAATGTGTTGCATCATATTTGGAAAAATTTCTTGTGGCATACTGCACAGAGGATTCCAAAAACACATCTAAGAATCCAGATGTTTATCATTCTTTGTGTATTGTATTTTTGTCTATGATATTGTGTGCCATGGTACCACTGTGCTAAAATGCACCATAATAAATGTTTTTAAAATGTAGAATTATAAAATAAAAATATCCCAATTTTCACTTTCAAATATAGCATCCATTGCTTTATCTAAAAGGATATTTGTGAATCTTCTTTGAATAAATGCAATGCCAAAGACCTCCACTTCTCCTAATTTGCTCAGATTTCTTCATGCTCCATCAGGTTCAGCCATGATAAAGGGTATCCAATTGGCTAATTTTGATTAAGATGAAAATGCACATGTGGAGTGAATATTTTTATTAAATATGTGCCAATATAACTCATGTGAAAATGTATTCAAATACTTACTGACAATAAAATATAAGTAATCCAGAGCAATATCATGTTCTTAGCTAGCCAGCCATGGAGTGGAAAACAGGGTAAAGTTGAAATTGAATTCATCACATTTATTATAACTTACTTCACATATTTTCATCTATTCATTATTTTAGCCCCCAGAAAAAGTTAGGACTCTGTGCAGGAGAATGAAAACTGCTTTCAGGTAAGTTATTATCAACACTTACAAATAAAACAAAAGCAAGATAAATATGTACATGATCATTGAGAACAGTTCCCAGATATCATAGAAACATTGAACTACTTACTCATCCTTCATCCTTCCCAACAACACTGCAAGAACATATTTGTTTTAGATATGAAAATAAAGTTTTAGATAAATTATTTGCCAAAAATAGATTTGTATACACTAAATTCATATATAGAACAGATGACATACATATATTTCTGTTTTTTTTCCTCTTATAAAAATGAATTCCAGTGTGATCAATTATATTTTTCCATTTATACATCAGGCTAACTTCTACTAAGTGTTTTAGAATTCCTAGTTCTCTTATTTGTGATTTTATACAGGACTATACTTTAAATAATGGAATTTCATGCACTTTAGGATATGTCCTAAAAAGTCTTCTTAATTAATTTAAATATCCATTATATCATTCTATTAAATGAACTTGACAAATAACACTATAAAATTGTTGTCATGTGAATGAGAAATGGAAAACTTAAGAGGAGTACTCTATATGTCTGTCTATCTGCCTGGTTATTTATTTTTTTCTGTCTACCTATCTTTCTATCTATCTACTTATCTACTGGGGTTTCTCAACCTTGGAACTATTGGTATTTGAGCTAGAATTGTTTGGGGCTGTAATAAGATATAGCAGTAATGTTGAGCATTGTAATTGGACTTTAGCCACTAGCTGACAGAGGCATCCCTCCTCCCGGCATGGGAAATAAAGTAACTCTTTGCACTGCATAGTTTGTTTTGTGAGGAAAATCACCTTTATTTAAAACCACTGATCTTTATCAGTATTAATCTCTATGTTTATCACTTTGTCAAAGATACATTCATTTATTTTCAAGTATTTTAATGTTGGAAGTTTGTATGTTTCTTATTTAAACCAGCATTCCATAAGAAATGTCCCTGCGGTGATACGTGAAATCTATTCACTGTGATAATGTCTTTATCAAGCATAGGTTTTCTAATAAAGCATGATGGAGAAGCATAATCTCACAGTGATGAGAGAATTCATTCTGATGGGCATCACAGATCGTCCTAAGCTGCAGGCTCCATTATTTGTTTTGTTCCTCATCATCTATGTGATCTCAGTGGTGGGAAATTTGGGCATGATCATCCTCACCATGGTGGACTCCAGGCTGCAGACCCCAATGTACTTTTTTCTCAGACACCTGGCTCTCACAGATCTTGGTTACTCTACAGCTGTGGGACCCAAAATGTTGTTGAATTTTGTTGTAGATCAAAATACAATCTCCTATTGTTTTTGTGCTACACAGCTATCTTTCTTTCTTGTGTTCATTGGTAGTGAGCTTTTTATTCTGTCTGCAATGTCCTACGACCGCTATGTGGCCATCTGTAACCCACTGCTCTACACAGTTATCATGTCACAAAGATTATGTTGGGTACAGGTGATAAGCCCCTATCTCTACTGCACGTTTATTTCTCTACTGATCACCGTAAAGATTTTCACTTTACCCTTCTGTGGCAACAATGTCATCAATCATTTTTTTTGTGACTGTCTCCCCTTGATATCCTTGCTCTGCTCTAACACTAAGGAAATAGAATTTATCATTATGATTTTTGCAGCATTTGATCTGATTGTCTCTCTTCTGATAGTTCTTGTATCCTACTTGCTCATCTTTATAGCTATTCTCAGGATGAACTCTGCAGAAGGCAGACACAAGGCTTTCTCTACCTGTGGGTCTCACCTGACTGTGGTCATTGTCTTCTATGGGACTTTGATATCTATGTATGTGCAGCCCAAGTCCAGTCACTCCACTGATACTGATAAAGTGTCCTCCATATTTTATACCCTGATCATTCCAATGTTGAATCCCTTGATCTATAGCTTGAGAAACAAAGATGTAAAATATGCTCTAAAAAGGACATGGGAAAATAAATGCTACATTTTTTCTTAAAGGTTACATACTCTATGAGTCCCACAAATCAGAACTGGATATGAACTTGGGTTCTTAAAAATGTATAACAAACACAACTTGAATCCATACATATTTAAACATCAGACTTCATTGTACTAGTCAAAGTTCCAAATGTCAGGAGTACTTTGTGAACAAAACAGTAAAAGACTTTGCCTTCCTTGAGAGGAAGTGACTGTTTATAGTATAATAATAGAGGAAATTCTCTAGTACAGAAAATTATGTCAGGATATAAAGACCAGTAGACCAGGTAGCAGAGTTGTATACTATGTGTCGGTGAGGAATAGTCTATATGATACAAGTGTGAAATATTTTTGTGATTTTTTTTTAGTATTACAATAATCTTTCCAGTTTCCATGTATGCATTGCTGTATGTGACTGTGGGTTCGTGCAAATACAATCATTCTATTTTATGCTTCCTCACCTCTGTGGGTTGTGTTAAAATCAAACTTCATTGTGGAATCATGAGGCTCATTGCAGCACAATATTTGAATAAATCAGTCTATCAGTGAACTCAAATTCTCATATTCTACACTGAAGTCTTAGGCTCCTCTTTTCTCACGAGTGCCTTTACTTTCACTTTTGAGCCCAAGATACTGTACTAACTCAACATATTTTGCTATTCAGCAGCCCAAAGCTTCAGCACAGCATCTAATTTTATTTAACTCAATAAATATGTGAATATGAATAAGTACAACAATTAAGATATACTTCTTGTCTTCTGCCACAGAAGCTTCCAGTGTTTTCACTTTTTTACTTGGTTGGTTTACTTCCTGTTTTGATCATGATTCCTTAATGCCACTTTTTGTCAAGTGGATAGTCGCTCTACCTTAGGTCTCTAAAAGCATACTTCTTGCTTAAAAGTCAAAATCTACTTGTTGCCTCATTCCTGCAAAAAATGCCTGTTCTATGGTATAATAGTTGTATATTTATTCCTTCTCATGGCTGACATTACATATATTCATTCAATATGACAGTTTACTACTTTTTGATAAGCATCCATTTTTTGATGGCATAGAATTGACAATCCAACCTGGAGGAAGCAAGTACAGACACTGCCATGATTTTAACTGCATTGTGCTTCTAATGAAGGTGGCTTGTAGTATGCACTGATGCATGAACTTCTCATGTACTTCATGTATACACCTGCCTAAAACTTTAATTTTTTTCATTATTTTCATTATTCACCATTCATGCCATTTTATTTACATCATTGAGGGACTGATTGTTTATTTATAACAGGAAGATGCTATGAAATTATCCTTATAGGCAATCAAAATAAGTAAAAATTATTCCTTGGAAATAATAAAAACATGTAGATGTCATGTGATAATGAATGTGAGGATAACTGTAAATAAATGGTGTGTGTACTTGATTTTTATGGTGAAATTGCAGAGCAAAGTTTCAGTGTTTGTTTACATGCAATACTATTTTACTTTCTAAAAATACATTTGGGATAAAAACAGCAAGATATTAATATTACAAACCTGTTTTCCATTGAGTTTGTATGCTATCATGCTTGTTTTTGTATATGTTTATCTTTAGATCTACCTTCCATGTATGAGAGAAAATGTGTCTTTTGTGTTTCTGATCCTGGCTTGCTTCATTTAGCATGATGTCCTCCAGTTGCACTCATTTCCCTTCAAACCACACGTCATTATTCCTTATGGCTGAGTAATACCTCATTGTTATATTTACTCTATGGAACTCGGGGAAAGAGGGAAAGGAAAAGGGGATGATATAGCATCAGTATTATCATAAAATACAAGACATGAAAGTAGAGGATATAAGGATGTGTATCGAAAGCTGTTGAAAAATGGGGGCTGGGAGGTAAAGGGGTAAGGGATAGTAATGGAGGGGTTGAAGTAATGTATACTCATAGTGGTTATACATTAAGACATCCCTTTGAACATCAACTTAAATATTAATAATAAAAAACAGGATGGTAAATAAGTACAGTAGGGAGGTTACTAGTGGGACGGGGAGGGTGAATGAAGGAGATTGGGGTGATTGTATATGGTAGATGGACTTAATATACTTATATGAAACATAATTAAGAAACCTCTTACAACTGCTTGAAGTGGAGCAGAGAGCAGGTAGAGGAGGGGAGAGGATGGGGGAAAAGTAACTAATGTACAATATAAGTCTAATCAGAATTGTCACTATGAATCCCCCTGTATAATGAATACATCTTAACAAAAAATTCTGAATTCTCCTACAAAAAAGGAATGTCTTGTTATGGTTTGGAATATGAAAATTGGGGAAAAATGTTAGTAAAGAATCAGAAACAGATCTTCCAAAAATATCAAGAATTTTAGCTTTTCTGTAATGTTTTCTTTTCTGTAAAAGAGAGCTGTGAAAAAGCAGTAAGTTTGCCCACTGTTGGGCATAGGAAGTTACAGTGGTACCTAGGCTAAGTTTGATGATGCAAAGTGCTGTTTTTGTCTCTCCCTCACTGCCTGTGAGGCCACATTCATGTTTCTTAGCCTCTGGAATAGAGATAATGATAGTACTTATTTTATATAGCTCTTGTGTTCATTTGTGGGCTAGTGAATGTATCTAACACAAAGCCTGGCACATATTTCACTTAAACTATTATATTTAAGCAGCTATTAAAAATAAACAATATTCATTGGTATAATTATTAGGCATAAAACTTATACCTTTCCTATACTGGAGTTAGACTTTTTACATTACCTGCATAGTGCCTTTACCAACATTTCAAAAATAATGTTTGTCCTAGGATTTCCTCTCTCAAGCTCTAGATACGTCCTCTGAGAAGGTGCCCATCGCACCAGCCATACTGGAGATCAATGTAAATGCTAAGGTAAGGTCCACAAGGGCTAAGCATGACTATGATGATCACTGAGCTCCTTGATACAGAGCTGTTAATATATTTTCCAGAGCTGGATGGAGGCCTATTCTCTTCTTTAAATACATAAATTTAATAATGGTCATTTATAAACCTTATCCATTCATATCATAGACTTGCAAACAAGATGACTGCCCTGGGTGTGTATTCTTGTTTGTTTCTATGTTTCTGTAATGTATATACAGATGTATATGCTTCAGCATGTAAAAAATTAATTCTTAACCACAACTGAATATCAGCAAGTTTCATGTATTGAAATGGAAAAATAACACCTGTTAAAACAATCTCAAGAATGAGGGAGGAGGGGATAAAAGAGAATGATGGAGATGAGTTTAAGACATATTGTCTGCATTTTTGCAAATGTCACAATGTACCACCTGTCCAAATCTAATATGATAATAAAATTTAAAGAACACCTCAATCTCAAAAACAATGATGAGTATGATAAAAAGTAAGTTTGATAGACACATGCATAACGATTTTAAACTCTGGGCAATGAAAATGATCATAAATGCAATAAAAGAAATAATCTACAACCTTGATAAATTAGGTACTATTGTTCATTTATGAAATTAATAATTAATAAGCCTACAATAAATGGAAAGAATGAACAAAGTATATATACAGGAAAATTACAAATATGTGATCGCATGTTCACACCCTTTAATAATAATCTGAAAATTATAAATGTGAATTTATTTTTCAAAACCTTCCTACAATGTTATAAAGTAAAACTGACAGTACTTTAAAAGAATAGGGCTACAAAGTAATGGTAAAGAGATAAGGTCAAGGAAATATTCCCAGTTTTCATGAAACAGTGTAAAAGTATTAGCCATATCACAAGCAATTTATGAACATTAAATAAGCTTATATAGCTTGAAATATGGATGAAGGACTCATATCTAAATGAATTGACATGGAATAATTAAAAAATATGTCTGACTGAAAAATATTTGTGGAATAAGACAGCAAGCATTTAAATATAATTTTAAACATTTGAAAACTATACTGTATATTGTTAATAAAGACATAAATATATTTAACAATGATAACATCCAACTAAATAACAAGTGGTAGTTAGGGCTTAATTCTTAAAGAAGATAATGTGTTACGATCAGACTTAAAGAAAAAAGAGTGTATTTAGTTTCAATACTATTTTATACATAAGTAATCAAAAAATAAGCTGACTTAATAAAGGCAATATTAATCCAATGAAATTTTTATTATGTAAAAAAGTGTTACTTAATACAAGAATACAAGTAGTCTCCCTCCTTAAACGCTAGTATAGAATTCCATCTACTGTGCCATGCCAACAATTAAAGATTAGCTATTAATTTCCAAAGTCAGAAATTAACAAGGTAATATATTCTACATTTAAAACAAGAGATAAAATTGCAAATGATTATCCACCTGAAATATTTTAAATATTATAAGGCACAAATAGGTTTCTTTTAAAATATACTCCCTGATTGGCAAATATTAAGCATGGTAGTATTACTGAATTAAAGGAACTAGAGTAGGAAAAATCATAATGAGTATTTATTATATCCCTATGCCTTGATCATATCCTAGTTGCTACCTGTATTGCATGTTTTCCAAGATATGTCATCAGACAGTCCAAATTCTAATTTCAGCTTGCTCATTACTTCTGCCTAGATTTGCTTAAATAATTAATACCTTTATTCAAACTAAAAATACATTATAGTATGGCTATAGTAAGACTTTACTTCTGTCTCAATAAATAGCATTAATGTAAGTGGATAAAATGCTCCAATTAAAATAGATATGCTAACTGAATGGATAGAAATGACAACTATATGTTACAAAAACATCACTTATATCTAAGGAAATGCATAGGTTGACTTTGAAAGATGGAAATAAGAATATCACATGCAAGTGGAATCCATAAGAAACAAGGGAATGCTGTACCTACATCAGATATTGTAGACTTTAAATGAAAAGCAATCAAAACAGACAAGGAAGTTCAGTATAGTAAAATAAAGGGGTAATTCAGCAAGAGGAAAGAGCAACACTGTATATATGTGCACCCACACTTGAAGCAACCAAGTGTTAAATATTAATAGGTCGAAAGGGAGAAGTGGAAGCTAAT